TAATTTTTGCCCAAGTAAATGAATAAGCCACATCATATAGTCCCCACCCCCCAAATATTGTATTGATTGGTACATAATCATCAATGTCAGCTGCTTAAAGCTAGATCCACAATGGGGACTCAGACTCAGTGTTGCAATATCTAATGTTTAGGTGCCCTTTTGCCTAGTGGAATGCACAGCCCAGGCTCCATCTACAATGCATGGGCTGAGTCGGGTGCCGAAGAATGGGATTTGCAAAAGCCATCAAGATGAGTGGGGAGCCACCTAAGCTAGCCAGTAGGAAATGCTGAGGAGAAAGGAGGGGCTTAGGCACTACCTTCTCCTCATGCTGTGTTTTATATAGGGCCTGATCAGGTAGGTGAGATAGGTGGGAGAACACCTAGCTTGTGAAACCAACTGAGGCTTAGACATGAGTTAGTAGCAAGGTGTCAGGACTTATGTGACTTTGTGCATGTCCACTAGCAGAAATGAAACCACCTAAGGGACTTTGAGAGCAGAAATGTAGGCCGTACGGACTTTAGACTACAGAGTTAGGTGGCAGCTGAGTAGAATTTTGTGAATCTAAATTTTGGACTTGTGCACCTAAAGTGGCACTTAGGTCCCTAAATTCCTTTTGTGTATCTATCCCTTAGTGAATTATGTGAAATAACTGAAATGAATGTTACAGATTGTTGAGTTTTGTATCTCAAACCCTTCCAATATTTTTCACAATGATATAATTGGCTTCTATTTTCTGTAACTACTGGCAAAGTATCTGTCTTGCATACAGAAATATTAAACTTCTGTGATAATGAGATGAAAAATGTTCCTAAGGTCCTCAGACATCTGGCTATGCAAAAAAAAACAAAAAACAAACAAAAAAAAAAACCGAACCTACAATAGGACAAAGGTGCTATTTTTGTCATCATTGCTTAATTAGTAAGAGAGCATCTTCCTTTTTCAATAGCAGAGATGTGTTATGGTAAGGCACCAAAATAATAAAAGGTGTGTATTTGGCTAATGGCTATGGAACACAGTACACCTGAAGTAACTGTAATTATTAAACAGAACAGCCTTTGCAAACTTCAAAATATTAGTCACATATCCTTTTGAAAGCCATGCAATATGGCTGCCAGTAAATGAGGGACAACATGCACATGACCCAGAATGTCTAATTGACCATAATAATGAGTAGCTAATGATACATATGCTCTAGTTTACTTTTACTACTGTAAATTATGACAGTAAGCACAGAAGGTTACACAACATTCATTAGGCTTGATGCTATCCTAGGGCTTGTCTACACTGACAATTTACAGCACTGCAACTTTCTGGCTCAGGGGTGTGAAAAAACACCCCCCTGAGTGCAGCAAGTTTCAGCACTGTAAAGCGACAGTGTAGACAGTTCACCAGCGCTGGTAGCTGTGCCCCTCGTGTAGGTGGGTTTTTTTTAAAAGCGCCGCGGTTGCCAGTGTACACTAGCCCTTAGAGTATGTCTGTACTGTAAGTGGAGATGCAGTTTCCAGGTTGGGTAGGTTTGTGTGTTAGCTCTGCTCAAGCTAGTGGCTACAAATAGGAGTGTAGCTATAGCGGCACAGGCGGTGGCTTCAGCTAGCCACTCGAGTACTTAGCTGGGCCTCAGACTAGGTTGTACGTGGGTGGATTGCCTGTGCTGCCACCCACATTGTCACAGCCACACTGCTATTGTTAGTGCGCTAGCTTGATCAAAGCAAGCATGTGTACATCTATCCAAGAGGGAAATTACACCTCCAGTTGCAGCTTAGATATAAGGTCTTGCTCCTGGAACAATTAACACACATACCTCTCTTTACACATAGTGAGTAGTCCCTTTGAAGTGCATGGGACTATTCATACTGTGTCAAGCTAATCGTCTGTGTAAATCTTCGCTGGATTGGGGCCTAACTCTGTGGAGACCTAAATGGTATTTGCATAACGATTTATCTGCAACAACCCAGAACATATATTTAAACCGTATGCTACTGTTGAAGTTGTATGTGTTTGTAATTAAATACAAAAGCAGATTTGCAATTTAGTGTTAGTTGCTTTAATTGTCTCTATCCCACAAGTTATTTATGGATGAATGTATTAGTGGTGTTCAGTTCTCCACATGTAACATGTATGGAATTTTGCTCAGCTTCCAAAGTAGTGTTTGTGATAGGCAAGAAAAGATTTAGCAACATTCTCAGCAGCCAAATTATCAAATTCATACTAATCTATAATTCTTAGTTGACGCTTACATTATTTTTATTTAAATAGTAATGAATTTCTCATCAGGCTATGCAAAAAACTATATTAGGACAAAGGAGCAATGATCATCAAATCAGCACCTACTATTTAGCTGAACTCAAATATGTAAGAGAGTATCTTCCTTACAGAGATACCATCTGAATCTAGAGCACAAAAATAAATACTTTCATGTTATCAAAAATGTTACACTGATGGCCAAAATGTTTCAAAGAAAATGTTTAGTCAAAAAATGGTCATTTTATCCAAAATGAAATTTAACAAAACAACTCGTTGACTTTTTAAAAAAATGCACCATGTGAAAATTTTCTTTGAATTTTTTTATAAAAATGATCATAGAAAATTGTATTGGAAATATTCTTGAATAATTATTTCTGCAATTTTTAAAAAAAATGAAAAAAATCAGTTCATTTTGAACCCTTCAACATTTTTCAGAATTTTAATTTAATTTTTGACCAGCTCTATTACACCATTATAGATGAACCAGACAAAACTTTGACATATTAACTCTTATGAACAGAATTACAGAGAAGAATGTAGCAAACACCAATGCCTACTTTTTACCTATGAAAATGCAGAGTGAACATTTTACAATTCTGTAAGCTGATGTTGGCACTTAAGAGGTTTGGCCAGTGATGTCGTTGCATACCAGTTATGGTCCTTTTGACCTAACACACTAAGAAACTATATTACAAAACTAAACATGCAAAATGTGTAAAATCTGGTTACAGTTCAAGAATGAGAGTTTCCTGCTAGCAGTGACAAATTGGGAAGACAGTAGATATAACAGAAAATGATTACAAAAGCAAAGAAACCCATTATTCATTAAGACAAATGACATACCAACTATTAAGGTGGGTGAGGTAATGAAGGGTTAAAATCCATGTGCATGTTATATAACAACCTGGTATATGGATTGTGCCAGCTCTTTTTCAGACCCAAAATCCAGAGTTTGGTCTGGAGACCAGAGGCCTAGCTAATAGTGATCAGCTAAGAGAAAGCTGAGGTAAACAAAATAACATTGCCTTTGCTAAGATCTGCTTGGTCAGTAGAAATGCCAGATGTTGAAGCAATAACTGAATAATTATGTTTCATCCAATGTTTCAAATTGAACAAAGAATCCCTGTTCCTATTGTGTTTCTCCTGAAGGGAAAACAGTCTTCCCACAGATCCAACCTTGAGTTTATGAAATATTGGCACATGTCACTATAATGATATGGCATCCTTCCACCTCCCTTCCAAGGGACCAATGCCCTGCCTTAAGACATAAAGGAGACAATCTCTATTTTCATATGCTTTCACTGTTTCTTTGCTTTATCCCCTAGACATGTACCTGTCGGACAATCAAAGGAGTTACTCCATTCCTATGGACCCCAAATCAGAATTCAACATATATATTTTATATTAATAACATTTTATCAAAGTATTAATTAAATGTTAACTTGCTAATTTGAGACCATGGGCGGAGACATTATGTAACCTTTTAACCATTGGCTAATGTGCTATCTTGTCTTGCTGCAAAACCTATCATGGGGTGTGGAACTGCCTACCCCGTCACTTTCCCCCGCCCATGGAAAATCTATATATTTCATTGTAATCAATTGATTGACAGTGTCTCTGAGCCTAATAAGCCAGGTGACACTCCGCCAGCGCTGTGTGTAATAAACCCCTATGCTTTGACCTCTACATGGTGTGGATTTATGTCCTTCAGGTAATATCTTTTACTGGGCCAAGTTCTGTTGGTGAGAGAGACAAGCTTTTCAAGCTTACACTTGTCTCTCTCACCAACAGAAGTTGATCCAATAAAAGATGTTACCTCACTCACTTGGTCTCAAATAGCCTGGGACCAACCCGGCTACAATAACACTGTATATATCAATCATCATGCAGCCTTTACATTGCAAAGAATATATATATTATGATAAAGTTTAATGACTTGTCAGCAATTGGGTACTAAAAACATGAACTCGGTGCTCTCTTTCTAGTTATAGGGATGCACTGATTTTAAATGGGAATTGTCTGCACGGATCTGAGGGCAGATTGTTTCCCATATTTATTGACTGAAAAAATACCGTGTGTGTCTCCTAAAATCCTTTCTAATTTTCAGAAGTAATCTGCTTTCCCAGTTAGCTAGATCTTACATAGGTTTGGTTTAACAGAAAGTTTACTAGTCACATAGAATTAGTCATTAGCATTATGAAATTCAGAAAGAACCAAAATAGTATTGGTAGAATTTTCAAGAAGTGCCTAAGTAATTTGGAGTAACTTTCAATTGGATTGAGGCCCCTAAGGGTATGTCTACACTGCAATTAGACACCCGTGGCCGGCCCAGGGCTCAGGCTGTGGGACTGTTTAATTGTGGTGTCGAAGTTCCGGTTCTGGTTGCAGCTGAGCTCTGGGACTCTCCCACCTGACAGGGTACTACAGCCAGAGCTCTGCCCTGAGCCCAAATGTCTTCACTGCAATTAAATAGCCCCTTAGCCTGAGTTCCACAAGAGATTTAAAGACAATTCACATTTTCTCACTCATATTCCCATTCTTTGATTGCCAAATTCTTTAGTTTGCATTATACCTATTAGGTTAAGCTTTAGTGTTGTATTTAATAATGCCCTTGTTACTTAACATAATATCACATCTGTTTTAAAAAGATTTATTCAAGGATTTTTAAACTTACGTCTATCCATCAGGAAAGCTGTTTATTTTTACCAAAGAGTAGCCACTAGACAGCACTGCTATGTAAAGCAAGCAATACTTACCATGAGCAGCCCTTTGTAGGCATAGACAATGCCAAGCCAAATGGTCATGTGAGTGTTTTCACAGTGCTCTAAAATCGGACGAATGGAAATATCTCTGCCGGCAGGGTCCGGCTAAAAGGGAAGAAAAAGTAAAGAGTAAAATATTTGAATTAATATTTGACATGTACTTATGCCTCAGAAGCCATTTCATTCTGTTCCCAGTAGGTTGGGAACACATGTATTTGTGTGTAAAAAAAAAAAAAGCCAACTTTAGTAAGACTTTTGATGGTGTGGTTCCATAAGGCTGCAAAGGAGCTTAGTAAAGATTATAGTAATTAGGGAATGGAACGTGATAGGTGGATTCATGCTTACCCTGCTACAGCAAAATAGAAAGCAGAAGGACTGTTCATCATATGTTCAATGACTCTTTCTGTAATACTGCCAATCACATTAATCTGTTATAGTTTAAACAAATACATAACTACCAAGAAAAAATATCCAGGAAGGCATTCTGTGTAACTGAAGGGAAAGAAAACAACTTGGTCTTTTTGATTTGGACAGCTAATTTGGTAAAAATAGTAAAAAAGCTAATGGTATAGCTCAAACATGCAGCCATGAAAATAAATATATATAGTTAAAATCACTCTTCATGTTTTGTGTCATTGATCAATGGCTGAGTATGCAATGAGACACATTGTGGTATGTTCCAGACTATTTTTTGTTTTGTTTTATTGCCCTGAGACAAACCAAGTGCTTGGATTATGCTATTGCCATTGCAGCAAAAGCTCAGTTTAGAATATAACTCATCCCAAAATCCCCTTAAGACCAAGTGAAACTCTCTGTACAAATGAATGCTGCTAGAAACCCTCATAGCTTCCACTCACCCTCAGAAAAGAGGATAGTGCAGCAATGCATGCCTTTTGTACTTGGTGTGACAAAATTCCTCCTCTTGGTGGGTCCTGCGCTTATTGGTGGATTTTCTTGCCTCGGCGATTCACCATGTGGGTTGGGGAACAGCCCAGAGACCTTCCCCTTTGGAAGAACCCACAGTCCAGGTCAATTGGGAGGTTTGGGGGGAACCCGGGCCCATCGGGTTCCAGCCCAGGGCCCTGTGGACTGCAGCTGTCTATAGTGCCTCCTGTAACAGCTGCATGACAGCTACAACTCCCTGGGCTACTTCCCCATGGCCTCCTCCAAACACCTTCCTTATTCTCACCACAGGACCTTCCTCCTGGTATCTGATAACGCTTGTGCTCCTCAGTCCTCCAGCAGCACACCCTCTCACTCTCAGCTCCTTGCGCCTCTTGCTCTCAGCTCCTCACACTCCCACCACAAACTGAAGTGAGCTCCTTTTAAAACCCAGGTGCCCTGATTAGCCTGCCTTAATTGATTCTAGCAGCTTCTTCTTAATTGGCTCCAGGTGTCCTAATTAGCCTGCCTGCCTGAACTGGTTCTAGCAGGTTCCTGATTACTCTAGTGCAGCCCCTTCTCTGGTCACTCAGGGAACAGAAAACTACTCATCCAGTGACCAGTATATTTGCCCTCTACCAGACTCCTGTACCCCACTGGTCTGGGTCTGTCACACTGGACATAATACTTGTTCTTTTGCAAATTAGATTAGTGATTCTAACTGACTTGCTGTGTTACTTTGACAGGAATATTCTGTTGTACCAATCTATCCAAAGTGGTTGTGAACTCTTATCTTGTTTTCCTTTTGAGAAGAACCTGAAATATGGGCACAAATGTTCAAAGCAACTCACTATTTCCAATTTAAAGTGATGGTCCAGATCTTCAGCTGATGTAAATCACCATGTGCTTCACTTTATGTACATGTGCAGTACCAGTGGAAGTCACTACAGCCAGTTCCTTTTTCAGCTGGCTACATGTATAAAATCTATGAGGCAGAAGAATATTGATCTATCCGAGCTACGGAAAAATCAGTTTTTCTTTAACTCAAATACAGAAGTGATTTTTTCATAGAAGGATTTCAGAGAAAAACTGACCATTATTCTATGGGTCAGTCTTGCTCCCATTAGCATCAGTAGGAATTTTCCCATAGATTTCAATGAGTGCAGAATCAAGCCCCTACTCCATTTCCCTCATCAGCCCTTCCGTATGTAAAGCATGATTGCCTGGCTACCGCTGACCTCAGATAGCAACAAAGAATAAAAAAGACAGAAAACAAAGAAAAAATAAAAGAAAGAAAAGGAAAGAGGATTGTGGGGCATGTTTCTCACAATCCATAGTTATTTCCTTGCACCCTTGGCACAGAATGACAGTTACGTTCACCCCTTCCCAGTAGTAACCCTGAATAGGATAATCTAAATCCTAAAAATCTCTCAAATAAAAGAGGTCCCGGAGGAGGATTCTACCCTTTCATAAGTAGTGTATGGCCCCACTCTGACAGCCAGTGATCACCTGCAACTCCCATTACCATCAACATGAGCTACAGGTGCTCATCACCTCTCAGGGTAAGGCTGTCAGGTAGCAGAAAAATATATTACAATGCTACTAAAGTGTGTTTGGGATCATTAAAAATGTCTCCTTCTCCCTGATCAGGGACAAGATGTTTCATAATGCCAAAGTCTTTATGTACTGAATGTAATTTGACATTCCAAACTGAAGATAAAGCTTTCTGGATTTTCCATCATTTATGATTGACATGGAGAAAAGTTCAGGTGAGAGTTGCTATCTTAAAAATTCAGTAGTGTCAACATTTTCATATGAACAGGACTGTCCTGAAGATACATTTTCTCTAAGTTTCTAAACCTTGTCTTAGCTCATTACAAGGCCAAAGATTTTTTTTTAATACAGGACTGATCTCCCATACATCTTTGAGTTCTGGTGTGCCATTAATTGCATCCTTTTCTGAGTTGTGAGATAATTATTTCAGTTCCATTCTTTTCAGATCTACAGTATTCCCAAAAATGTTTAATTTTTAGCAGTGGGGAGCTACACTAGTTCACACCCACTCAGGATCTGGGCTCATGTCTTTTCAGCTACGTCCATCCTCTGCCCACACCCCTTCTCCTTTTTACCTCACATTAGTGGAGTGGGGTTTGAGAGCTGCACTCAATGAACACCTGATGCTTCACCATACTTGTGCCTGCATGGAAGCCTGGACTCATGCTTGCACTGAAACTCAACAGCCTTGTGCTGTTTGCTGAGTACATAATGATTTACAGGGTCAAGGTGCTGTCCAATATTTTGACGTGTATGAACAAAGCGTCACTGAAGGGCTGCCGTACTACTCAGCCATAGGCAGTGAAATGCTCACTCTTCTGTTTTTCACTATGGTATTTCTCTCCTAAAAGAATGTAATTATGTTCAAATTAGGGCTGTCAATTAACTGCAGTTAACGCACGTGATTAACTAAAAAAAATTAATCGCGATTAAAAAAATTAATCACAATTAATCACAGTTTTAATTACGATTTAATTTTAATTTTATATTTATATGAATTTATATATAATTTATAATTTAATTATAATTTTGCATTGAATTAATCGCACAGTTAAACAATAGAATACCAATTGAAATGTATTAAATATTTTGGACTTTTTTCTAAATTTTCATATATATTGTATTCTGTGTTGTAATTGAAATCAAAGTGTATATTATTTTTTATTACAAATATTTGCACTGTAAAAATGATGAACAAAAGAAACAGTATTTTTCAATTCACCTCATACAAGTACTGTATTGCAATCTCTTTGTCGTGAAAGTACAATTTACAAATGTAGATTTTTTTTTAGTTGCATAACTGCACTCAAAAACAAAACTTCAGAGCCTACAAGTCCACTCAGTCCTACTTCTTGTTCAGCCAATCGCTAAGACAAACAAGTTTGTTTACATTTACAGGAGATAATGCGGCCCTCTTCTTTTTTACAAAGTCACCAGAAAGTGAGAACAAGCATTTGCATGGCACTTTTGTAGCCAGCATTGCAAGGTATTTACATGTCAGATATGCTAAACAATCATATGGCCCTTCATGCTTTGGACATGATTCCAGAGCATGTTTCCATGCTGATGACGCTTGTTAAAAAAATAATGCGTTAATTAAATTTGTGAGTGAACTCCTTGGGGGAGAATTGTATGTCCCCTGCTCTGTTTTACCCATATTATGCCATATATTTCATGTTATAGCAGTCTCAGATGATGTTGTTCATTTTAAGAACACTTTCGCTGTAGATTTCACAAAACGCAAAGAAGGAATCAATGTGAGATTTCTAACCAACCCAAGGTTTAAGAATCTAAAGTGCCTTCCAAAATCTGAGAGGGATGAGGTGTGGAGCATGCTTTCAGAAGTCTTAAAAGAGCAACACTCCGATTCAGAAACTACAGAACCCGAACCACCAAAAGAGAAAATCAATTTTCTGCTGGTGGCATCTGACTCAGATGATGAAAATGAACATGCGTCGGTCTGCACTGCTTTGGATTGTTATTGAGCAGAACTTGTCATCAGCAGGGCCGGCTTTAGGAAGTGTGGGTCCGGATTCGACGGGGCCACGGCAGGGATGACTCACTCGGCGGTGCTCCGGGTCTTCGCTCCGGGTCTTCGGCGGCACTGAAGGACCCGCAGCCGAAGACCCGGTAGGGAACCACCTGGTGAGTACATCCCCCCCCTCCGAATCTGACCCCCACCCATTTCCTGCCCCCAACTGCCCCCCTCAGAAATTGCAACCCATCAACGCCCCCCACTCCTTGTCCTCTGACCACTCTTTCCCAAGACCCCCCACCCTAACTGCCCCCCAGGACCCCACCCCCTACCCAACTCACCCTGCTCCCTGTCCCCTGACTGCCTCGACCCCATCCACCACCACCCCGACAGACCCCCGGAACTCCCACGCCTACCCAACCCCCCCCATTCCCTGACCGCCACCCCAGAACCTTTGCCCGATCCAACCCCCCCACCTGCTCCCTGTCTCCGGGACTCCCTGCCTCCTGCCTTATCCAACCCCCCCTCTGGCCCCGGCCTCTTACCATGCTGCTTACCCCCGCTGAGGCCGGGCCCAGGGCCCGGGCCAGGGCCGCACCGCCCGGCTGGGGCCAGGGCCGGGTCCGGAGCCGTGCCACCCGGAGCCAGAGCCATGCCATCCAGCCAGAGTCGGGGCCGGAGCCAGGCCGGTGCC